TAGCGGTAATTACAATGAGACTTTTCCCATCAGAGGGGCAACTTGCTTCCTAGGTGGGGATCCCTCCACACTCCTCAGGTGATTCTCCTTCTTTGTACAGGAGGCAGCAGTGTGAGGTGAAGGAGTTGCTCAGTCTAGACTAGTGAAGGGGAACCTTGTGGAGACTGAGTGCCCAAATTGCAACCCCAAACCCTCTTAATTACTGCCAAGTGCCAACACTGCAGTGAAAACAGCATATCTGATGCTCAGTTACTGGAGTGATGCTGGGGTGACTTGGCTCACTTATCAATCAAGAGGGCTTGGTGTGCCTGATATGACTTATATGCCATAGGTTTGCCACCAGTGGTCTAGAGTAACTCTGATAATTGCCAATTTTGAACTGACACGGTCTAGGTGACCAAGTAATGGCAAGGTAGTTTTTACATACACATTATGTGACAATATGGACATTCTAAAAAGAGATTAGATGAGGTTAAAAGCTCAATGGAACCAAATAGATGTGACTAAAAATAGTCAAGTATGGTGCAACCTTCATCTAATCCACAGACCATTATATATTTTCAGTCTAAGAATCCAAGAGGTAAAATTGCAGCTTGGACTACGTGTGGTATTGTCTTCACAGCATTGCCATTCTCAGTGCCCAGACACTGCCTACTACATGGGCCATACAACAATGAAGGCATTCATGTCAACAGGCATTGATTAAGTGACTGCATGGTATTAAGCAGTAGACAGAGAGGAATACTTTAAATGTTCCATTGTTTGAATACAAGGAATGCTTTGAACAAATTACTGTAATAGGCAAAATGGGTTTACTATCAAGCCCACGACACATAAACTTCAGCTCCTCTCACTTGCATGAATGCCTCTGAAGTTCGTATACGTGAATTTATATGTGAATTCTTTTTTTGAAGACAGATCCCCTAAATGTTCTAAGCTTTACACTCCACAAAACCTGGATAAATTTCTGGTAACAGCTACAAATCTTTGACCATGAAATCAAATTTGTAAGAAATTTGACTTCAATTTGGCAATACATTTCACTGGGCAGAAGTAACAAGCTCAGCTAATTTAGAGATCTTGGCAGGTTCTGAGTAGAGTTCAGAGAGTGCCAAGCTATTGGGAAAGAGTGAGCATCTAGTGCTCTGTTGTCCCTTGTTTATGCTCACTGTCTCTAATTAGCCGATGTTCCTGTCTGACCTAAGTCTGTGGTACAGGTAGACATGTCTACTTCTTGTCCTCACCTAGATATCTCTTTTGCTTAGCTTTTTATCAGCTTCTTCCATGTTCCCAAAAGGATGAAAGAATAAACTTGAGCCAGACATGATGGCACTACCTACAATCCCAACACTTTGGGAGACTGAGGCAGGATGAGCACAAGTTCAAGCGCTTTTTGAGCCACTTAGCAATTTATTAATATACTGTCTCAAAGTAAAAAAAAAATAAAATGGCTCAATGGAATGTAGCTCTGTGCAAAGGCTCTGGGTTTGATACTGTTAAACTGCCTCTCCAAAGAAAAATTTAACATAGCATCACCTTGGCATGACTCTGGAAATACATGGAGACCTGAAGATGTATGAAATTATCAGTGATTTGAAATATGAAACACTTATGTCCACTTTGCTGGTCCTATTCCCTGCCCGGCACTGGAATTTTCTCTATGGCATGACTCTTTCCTGGGCTTACCTTAGAATTGAGGCAGGATTCCCCTGTGTTTTAAAGGCCTTGTATCTACTTAGCATAGAACCAGAGTTTGGTGGTAAAGATGGTACTCCTTTCTAGAAGAACTGGTGTAGAAGCCTTCTAGTTATCCTTATTCATGGAATCCTCAGAGTGTGCTCAGAATGAGTCAGAAAGTGCGGTGAGTAGAGGAACTTTAGGTATCACTTTTGCATAAACACTATACACTGAGTTTGGCTTTTTTTTTTTTTTTTCAGAAACAAAATCTTGCTGTGTTGCTCAGAGTTTATTTAAACTGATAGGTTCAAATGACAGTCTTGTCTCAGCCTACTGAGAGCTGAGTCTAGAGGCATATGGCTGGCTTGAGTATTGGGTTTTAAAGCTTAAAAGCCAGTATTCATATAACTTGAAACTGTCAAACTATCAGTGTCTCACTTAGGTTTTAAAAGCAATTTTTTGAAACTTTGAAAGACCAGAATTGATATTCTCTGCAAAGGCTCTGTTGTGTTTTCTCCTCCCAGAAGCAATAGAGGTAGAAGTCCAAGCTGAAAGCCTGTGCGATAGATACAAGAAATTGGTTAGTTAATCATAACATTATCTGGCCACATTGTCTATTCAGTAATGGCATTTCAGGAGCTACAAAACTAACTGTGATGCAGGTATCTGCACTGGATGCTATTCCTTTGTGTCAGAAAGTGTTCTAACTCATTGATCTGAATGAATGTTTGCTCATATGCTATGGATCAGTGCCCATTTTGAAGAAATAACATATACTTGGTCAGGGATATTTGACCATGCTGGAAGGTACTATAATAATAAGTTGTGGGGTCATTTTAAACAACCAGATGAAGAAAGGTGAAAAATTGGCAAGTTTTATTTTTTAACTTTGATAGCTACATTGCATTTTGACATTATAAGTTCAGGGTTCACCCTCGATGAGTCTCACTAATGGAGAATATAGTTTATAGTGCTCAAACATAAGTCTTTGGGCAAAAAAGAGAAATTATAAATTGTGTATTATATTCCAATGCTGATAAAGTAGTGGTTTTTAGAATCATTATTTTCTAGTAATATTAAGTACAATTTTGAGTAGTTTAGATAGTAATATTTAAATGTTGCTTAAATGTTGATTAAGAATATTGAGAGGTGAAGAATTTTTGTTATGTAGCATCTTCTTTGGTAACTAAAGTATACCTAGTATACTAAAGTATACTAGGTATACTTTACTTGGTATACTATGTAGCAAAGACTCGGAATTCTTTACAGAATTGACATACACAAATAACTATTTTAAAAAGTTTAGCAACCATGCATTTTCTGAAATCATTTCAGAGAAAAGATGCTATTCTTATGCAGGAGAAATACAACAAAAAGTTTTAAATACATTTGAGCTAGTTCACTGTGATTTTCATCTCTGTGATAATCACAGTTGTGATTTATCACAGTGTCTTCTGTGAAAGGTAATGACACAGTGAGGTACAAGAGTAAGACTTAATGTAAAATTAATCAAGAATAACTGAGTCAGTACTTAACAGCCCTTTAATAATTCAAAATTTAAAATATTACTTGTAGGAACAATTATAATTCTGTTCATTTTGCTTCCTCTAGAGTTATTTGTGAGGGTTATAATCTTTGAGTCTTTTTCATTTCCTTGAGCAGTGGGTTTAATTTAGAAGAATGCTCTTAAATCTTGAATGATTATTAGAGATATTTTGAAGCTATTTCTAAGGTGAAGAAAACAGAAATACAGGATCATTTGAAAGAAGGAAGAAGTTCATAACCAGAGCAAGCTTGACCAGTGAAAACAGACTTTAAAATTAGGATTACTAAAATGAACTTCCAGTGTCCAATTACAAGGATCAGTATCCAAAGTTTCTGCTTTGTTCCATACTAAAGATGAACAGTTTTTCTAGTTTTACTTCTAAGTAAAATAGAAATAACAGAAGCAAATGACTGAAGTACCTTTTTGACTAGCTTTTTTTTATTGAGAGTATTATCTCTAAAAGTCTAAGCCTTTACCATAAACAAATCATAATAAATTAATATTGAAAAGGAGGATAGTTAATGGTCTTGACCAAATAAGGTTAACATCAGTAATTACAATTTGGATCCAAAAAAAGCAATACAGTTTTATCCTGTAAGCTATTATCAGGTGAGAAATGGTGAAGTGTTGATCAAGGATGTTAATGTTTAAAAGTGGAAATTGAAAAGTCTTCAACCTCTTTTTTATTGTTTATTTTATAAATCTATATTTTCTCATTCATATTTTCATTCTATCATTAATTGTTCCAATATCTGTTAAGCTTCTGTTATATGCCAGAATGTTTTAAAACCATACTCCAAATTCTAATATATAATGAGCCTTCTGAGAAGTGTTTTTGTTAAAGATTTAACTGAATACTTTTTAAAGTATTTGAGCTCTTTTATTGCTGTGCACACTAAAGATTCATTTTATTAAATATTATACCAATAGAAATCTACAAATCAGATACATATTTAATTTCAAAGTCACGTTTTGGTCTTTGGAAGTAGATATTCAATTAATTTGGTTTAGAATAAAAATATTTAAATATAGATACATACCAATGATTTTTATTTTTCAGTATGTGAAATTGAATCCAGGGCCTTTGCAGTGAAATATATTGCCAACCTTTTTTAGTTTTTATTTTGAGACAGGTTTCACAAAGGTACTAAATTGCCAAGGCTCAGCTTCAAGCATGATTCTCCTGCCTCAGCCTCCCAGAGGGCTGGGATTACAGGTGTCTGCCACCACACCTGGCTTGCCAATGACTTAAATTTCAGGGTTATTATGATGTTACTTAAAACTGACTAAGCATCAAGGGTCCACTTACCACCTAGCTGATATATAGAACTTTATTAGTTATTAACATAGTAATAGTTGTTAACCTAGTTCAAGAGAAAGGCAAGACTTCTGCCATGGGTTTGAGTTAGGGTTCAATTTATTGTTACACACCAATTGCATAACATTGTGCAGTGCTGCTCATAGTGAAAAACAATTCCCTTTGACATCATCTATTGTCTTAAGAATAGCTGGTCTATTTATGTGTGGTTTGTGTAACTAAGAATTAAGTAATCACAAAAATAAATAGGGCTGTACCCATTTATATAAGTCTTAGTTAATTCTCTGGGGTTAAGCTTTTAATTATATCAAATTATTTCCTGTTAGTTCACTGAAAAGCCTGAAAAATAACAGAGTGAGGCGTAACTAGCATCACAATTTACAAGTCATGATTTTTAAGGAGCATCAAACTAATTATGCAGTTCTTAAACAAATTAAAACAATGTTACTTTCATTTTAGATGCGATCCGTGAGCCGAGTATTTAAGTTTATTGACATGCCAGAAGAAGGTGCACCTGTCAAGTCTATCAAGCCATCCAGGGATGACCAGCTCTCGAAAGTTATGATCATTGAGAATCAACATGTGAAGAAAGATGACATCTGGCCCTCCGGGGGTCAAATGATTGTCAAAGACCTCACAGCAAAATATGTAGATGGTGGCATTGCCATATTGGAGAACATTTCCTTCTCAATAAGTCCTGGCCAGAGGGTGAGACTTAAACATTAATCCTTTTCTTAATGCCCTGCTCAGTGAATTCCAGCAGTCTAAACCAGTGTGTTAGTAGAGTCCATTTGTAATGCTATTATTATATATACATTAGAAATGATACTGTATGTACACATTTCAAGTTGTTGTTATTGGAGACATTATATTTTATGTAAAATAACTTGCAAAGTCTAAACTCATTAATAGGTTCACTTAAAATGTGAATTATCTAATTAACTGCTAATTTACCATCTATAGCTGTTCAACAAACCAAAATTGCATATTTTAAGTTTCTGATCTTGAAAATACCTTCCAGGAAGGTAGTTTATTGTTGCCTCCATCATTAGAATCTTTAATTTTATCTGATTAGGAGTATTACATTTTTTTAGGGTTTTTTTTTGGAGCTTCCACAAAGATATAGTTTTTCCAACTTATTAACTAAGCGGAAATTATGGAAAAATATTTACTAAGTAATAATTTTGTTACTAGGCAATAATTTTACCACTTATTAAAAATAAATAACTGTGTTATTTTGAAAGATTTCTTATACTATAGATCCCAGCACTGGATTGAACACAGAAAGAATTTGTATACAGATTTTTTTGAACTGATTCTAACATAAGTTTTTCCTCTACCCTATGTGCTATACATAGTTTTATATTTTGTTCAGATCCATATTCTGATTTACTTTATAATGCTAGAGAGGAGTATCATATATTTTTATTGATTTAAAAAGTTGAGACAGTATTAAAAATAGCCAGATCTTGAAAAAACTGAATTTTAAAACTTTATCTCTTTATGGTTAATTTCAAATAGAGGTTTTAAGATGTCAAGATACAGTTAGGAAAGATATTAAGTTACCAATATTAACATTAACATAGAAACATAATTACTGTTACTTTGTGGAATATTTAATAAACATTTAATACATTGCGCCAAATCCCATTTTATAAAAGTATAGGTGAAGGAAAAAGTACCATGTAAAATGATTTAAAATGAAAACTGGAAATTTTGACTCAGATTTGCGCCTTAGGATAGTCACATATCACAAAATTAACTCTATTTGTTGTTGTTGCTGATTAAGAATGGAATTTAGTTGTCCTTTCCTGAAGAAAAACAACCTTAAATTGTGCATAAATGGGAAGATTTTACTTTTTAGATGAATTTGATCATAGTATTAGCATGCATATATATATATATATATACATATATATATATATATATATATATATATCTTTTTAGGTTACATTAAGAGCCCTCATGGAATTTCTAAAAAATATTAACACTTTTGTTTTGTCTTTTGAATGTGAGGAAATATTAGTTATGGTTTGGAACTACATTAAATTAATGATTGGCCTTGGCTCCTCCCTTTCATTGGAAAAAGCACAATAGCTTTCTCTTTTTGTTTTCATGTGAATTAACCACAGGAAGCTCAGACTCTTTTCCTGGCATCAGCAGGATGCATGCCAGAGGTGGGATCATTGTTACAAATCAGTCCTACAAATGGATTGATACCAAGCAGAACTGAAAAGCCTTGATGAATTACTTGCTTCAACATGGTTGAACTTCTGTCTATCCCTTTATCCATAGGCGGCTTTACATTTAAGTGGACTTTTTTGTAGACAGTATGTCACTGGGTTATATTTTTTGATCCATTCTGACAATCTTTGCTTTTTAATTGATGCATTTAGATATTGGCATCTAAAGCAATTATTGATTTAGTTGGATTAATATCTATCCTATTTGTTACGGTTTTTACATTGTGGCTACAGTTGAGCATTTTATGATTCAATTTTTCCCCCTTTTTGTAATAGTAGCTTTTTTTTTTTTTTTTTTTTTTTTTTTACTTTTTAGGGTTTGCCCCACAGTTTGCAATACATTTATGACTAATCCCAGTTCATTCTCACATAGTGTTCTATTATAATTTCATGGGTAGTGTAAGTACTTTATAATAAAATATTCTCAGGTCCTCCCTCTTGTTCCTTGTGTTTTTGCTAGGATCCATTTTATTTCTTATATACATATGTGTAAAAAATACATCATATGTACATTCAATCAAATACATTGTTATTATAATTATTTTGAACAGTCTTCAGTTAGATCAATTAATAAGAAAAATTTAAGTTCTTATTTTTCCTTCATTTATTCTTTGATAGCCTTCTTTTATGTATCCTACTTTTTATCTTTATATACATCTAAGTTTCTTTTTTAAATTTTCATTTTTATTAGTATATGTTTGCAGTACAGAAAGATTACATCCAACATGGAGAGTTGCTATATGTACACAATCTTAATTCTTTTTGCTTCTTTCTTTCTTCCCCTCTGCCACTTTTTGTTCGCTTTGTCATTTGCAAAATATAAGCTGAGTTTCATTTTTCTTTTCTCTGAAGAACTTTTCAGATTTCTTTGAAGACAGCCTGATGGCACCTTCCCTTAATTTTTGTTTGTCTGATAAATTATTTTGCTTTCACTTTTGGAGGCCAATTTCATAGAATATAGATTTCTAGTGTGATTTTTCCCCCTCTCACACTTTAAAGATTTTGCTACACTTATTTTATTTTTGAGACCAGGTCTCACTGTGTAGTCCAGGCTAGACTTAAAATTCATGGTATGACCCAAACTGGGCTCACATTTGCAGCAGTGCTCTTGCCTCAGTCTTTTGGGTACTGACTGAATTTATAGGCATGTATCACTATGCCCAGCTCTTCTCTTATTTCTTGATGACACTGATTCAGGGAGGTGAGATGTGATTTGTTCCTTGGCCTTTCTTCCCCCTTTGATAGAGGCTTGCTCTGTAGTTTAGACTGCTCCTTGAACTCACTATGTAGCCTCTGCTTCCTAGTGCTGAGGTTACAGTGTGTGCCACCATGCCCTGCCCTCCTTGATTTTTTTTATAGACAATTTTTTCCCCTCAGGCTTCTTTCAAGGTTTTTATAATCTTAATTTTTTGTAGTTTTAAGCATGATAGGTCTTGGGGTAGGCTTTTACAGAATTTTTATCATTCTGCTGTGTCGTCTCTGAGCTCTCTGGATATATGGTGTGGTATTTTAACACTTAGTCATTGATGTTTCACGTATTTCTTTGGTTCCTTTTTCTTTTTGTTTTCCTTCCCATGTATTCCCATTACAGATAAGCCATGCTTTTTGGAGTTGTTTCCCAGTTCTCGAATAGTCTTTCCTTCTACTTTTTTTTTAAATTTCAGTCTTTTTATCTTTGGTTTTCAGCACTGGAAGTTTTTACTGATTCATCCTCAAGTGGAAACTTTTTTCTCGACTGCATCTAGTCTGTTTATTAACTTACCACATCCATTCTTCATTTTTGTCAGGGTGTTTTTAATCTGTAGAATTTCTTTTGATTGGGACGGGAATTTAGTTCATGGCACAAGCGCTTGCCTAGCAAAATGTGAGGTCGGAAATTCAATCCCTGGTACCAAAAAAAAAAAAAAAAAAAAAAAAAGAAGAAGAATTTCTTTTGATTCAATCATAGAATTTCTCTCTTCTATTTATACCATCCATCTAGTTTTGTGTGTTATCTACTTTTTCCATTAAAATCTTTATCATATTAATTATAGTTGTTTAAATTCTAATTCTAATCTGTTGTGTCTAACTCTGGTTCTGATGCTTATTCTGTGTTTTTTAAGTTACTTATTTTATTTCTTGCCTTACATTATGCTTTGTAATTTTTTGCTGTAAGGTAGCCATGATGTGCCAGATAAAAGGAATCATGATAAATACATCTATAGCAATGTAGTAGTAAGATATTCCGGGGTAGGGTAGTGTAGAGTAGTTTTTCAGTGAACCTGCCCTCTTGGATCATGAATTTAAAGGAGGAGGTTCACCTCCTTAGGTGGAATAAGACAGCTGGAGCCGGCGTTGAGAGTTTCCCTTCTCTTAAGTCAGTTGAGCTCAGAAAAAAATTTCTAATAAGGTAAACTTGGTAAATTAGTTTGTTTTGGGATAAGTCTGGTTAAAAAGAAGAGAATGTATCGGTCTATTACTTTCCACGATTTTTGTGTGAAATATAAGAGTGTTCCTCTAGTCTTCACAGTGGGACCATGGTAAAGCTAGATGCTAAATTAATAAAACTTTGGAGGTCCCTCATGACTGGAATTGTTTTGCTGTCAGAGTCGTTGACCCTTAGTCTCCATCAATTTGTCACTTCCAATTTAGGCTTTCCCACTCTTGAGTTCCCTCTAAGTCTTCTACTTGGTGGTTTCTGTTTGTTAAGTTGTGATTTGCTGTATCTATTTGTCTGTCTTTAGTTTTGGGAGACAGTGTTTTGACTGTGACCTTGCTTCTCTGTCAGACCCAGGAAAATTAATTGATTTTTTAGTTTGCTCAACTTCGTATTTGTTAAGATGGATCAACCCCTTGCTAGTGTCACACTTGCCAGACTAAAATCTGGAAGTCCTGTTTTTTTCTTTTTATTGTCTTATCTCTTTGTTTATCACTTTGTGTAGCTCAGTAAATTTTAAATGAATGGATGGATGAATGAATAAATAAATGAATGTGTTAAGTCAACTGATAGATTATAGGGTTCCTTCAAGTAGAAATTGACTCTTGGAATGCCATTCTGAGCAGCTCTCTTAGGAATGTTATCTCTAAGGCCTTGCTCTTAATGTTTGTAATGACATGTTGCCAGCTGTGCACCAAATGTATTTCCTATATGCAAAGGATTCAAAATTAGTGTATTAGTAGACTGCAAACCCAGCTGTGGGTTAATTATTCTTGCTGAAAAAAGCATTTGAGAATTCAGAGTGTAGACATCTCTTTAAAATTGTAATAGTTTTCAGTGTTCTCAGCTGTATGGGGTACAAAAGAAAATAATCAGTATTTTGTGCAGAAAAATTATTCAATTGGTATACTAAAATACTTTGTCCATATCAGTTAGAGATAAGATGTCCTATTACTTTACTTGTTGTTAATTGAAAAATTATGACCCTTTATTATGCTTTAAATTTTTTTCAGTGCTCAAGAGTGTAGCAAAACTTCATAGCTATTACCCTAAACAATCCTTTTTTCTTTTCAATCTCAAAAAGCCTTTTTAAAAAGCTTTTGATTTTTATATCCAGATCTGTATTTTTATATCCAGATCACCTTTTCCCAAATAGAATACCTAGTTCTTCTTTCCATATTTCTTCTCAAAATGTAAGTTGCAGCTTTAATTTGGAGTCATACCCTCATGACAAACCTGGACTTACAAAAATTCTTCAAATTATATATCGTTACATACATCGTTCACGTTTATATTGAACAACCTTGTGATTATTCTCACAAACATTTAGTAGTACTTGCAAATCAGTTATTTTTGGTAATTTTAACTGATTTCTCTAGTTATCATCACTACAAAATGCTGCAGTTCAAGAAATGATTTGTGGGAATGTAAAGAGTTGAGATCAAATCAGTACAAACATCCAAACGCCTCTTTGATCTGTAAAACATATATCCAATTTCTGTCTTGCTAAAAATTGGTATGAAGTGAGTGAATCATTCAGTTTAAACAGCATATATTTTATTAATGGTAAATAGATATATGGACATACAGAAAGTTCAGTTATAATCATAATGTGGATCTAATTTCACATGACCGGCATCCTGATTTTTGGAGACCATAGGAAATGAAAAATAATTATACTATGTTTCCATCTGTTGAAGAATTAAAATGATAAGTAAAACAGTGAAAGAAATGTACTGTGACAATTCTATTCATGAAACAACTCTATTACAATTAGTACCAAACTCTACACTGTTTAACTGTCCACCTAATAGTTCAATTTATCGTGATTCAAAATACCAAGGGAGGAACTTCCCTGAAGTTACTAGAAAACACTGACTTGGAACTAGGGTATATCTCAAAACCTGACTTTGTTAGTTACAAACCAATGAGATCCCTTGCTATTGTAAAACTTGTCAGACATAATGCATTACCAGCAGTTTGGTGACATAAAGGAACTAAAAATTTCAGTATTTGCTTTTGAAGGGGAGGCATTGTGGTCATTTATCCTATTCATTAGAACCCTGGTTAATTATGTAGATTTTTAGACTTCAGAGCATTTTTTACCATACATTCTTTATATGAATCTAAAATAATTTTTATGTATTGAACTTTTTTGTTCTCTTCCACTTACAGCTTACCTATACTGAGAATAATCATATATTTATCTGAAAGCTGTTTCTATTTGAAAAACAGTGACAAATGATGAATGTTTTGTATAGCATTGGCTATTTTGGAAATGTGTCTGTGAGACTTCTGTGTGTGTATGTGGTCTTCGGGGTTAAACCTTGGACTCATGCATGCTAGGCAAGCTCTGTACTGCTGAACCACATCCTCGACCCATCTGTAAGATTTTTTAGATTAAGAATTGATCTGAGTATGGATCCAGCTCAGTAGTAGAGCATTTGCCTAGAATATGCAAAGTCCTAGATTCTATCCCCACCACACCCCCATAAAGAGTTGATCTGGTAATTGATTGAAAGTAGCTAAATCCCCTTATTTATGAGATTAACTAAATATTTAGTTATATATGTTCACTTATCTGTTCATGCATCCATCCCTCTATCCATCCTTCTGTCTATTTTCCACTCAATCCAAATGAGCATTTATTGAGAACTTTACATAAGTCAACTATTGAGCCAGAAAATGGAAAGCAAGATAGACTACTTAGCTTTGTTAAAATTTGATTCTTGGGGTGAACAAGAAAAATACTCAAGAAAAAATAAATTACTAATTGTAATTAGTACTATGAATGATCTCAGCAGGGCAATGTGCATAACATTTGATTGATCTGGCTTTCTCAGTAATTGAACAGAAGAAATATTTTGGAAAGTCCCATAACAGAGCTCTGATGATGGCCAGGAAGACTGTCATTGTCATTATTGTTTACCAGCTTATCCAAAGGCTTAGTGTATTATCAACTAGAAATTATAAACTCTAAAACTTTTAGTGAGGTCTGTGTAGTCAGTATAATATTTTCATGTCACGGACATCATTCCATCGCTTTCTTTCTAAGGTGGGCCTCTTGGGAAGAACTGGATCGGGGAAGAGTACTTTGTTATCAGCTTTTTTGAGACTGCTGAACACTGAAGGTGAAATCCAGATTGATGGTGTGTCTTGGGATTCAACACCTTTGCAACAGTGGCGGAAAGCTTTTGGAGTGATACCACAGGTAAGCAAAAAGATGTAGCCAGAAAAAAAGAGTAGCTAAAATGCATTTTAAAAAGTTATTTCTTACCAGGCATGGTGGCACATGCCTATGATCCCAACACTCAGGAAGTCAAGACTGTTCTTTGAGGCCAAGACTGGAGTTTGAAGCCAGCATGGGCTGCACAGTAAGTTCAAGGCCAGTCTGAAGTACACAGCAAGAGCCTGTTTTAAAAACCCAAAACAAATGAAAACTATTTTTCTGTGTTCAGTGCTGAGAATCAAACTCAGCATCTTGTGAATGTTAGGCAAGTGCTCTGTTACTGAGAGATCACCATATCCCCAAAATGACATCTTTACCACTGTTTGACACTTGTGCTCAAGAAATTCACGTTACTCTGCAAAATATATTTGTTTGTTTTGTATTGCTGTGTTTTTTTCTGCAAAGCTAGAAAAAAATGTCATAGAGAGTAAAATGTCTCTAAAAGTTTGGAATTCCATGTAACATGCAATTATTAAAATGTTCAAAGTTTTAATAAGTGGTTCCCACAAGAAATGATCTGTGTGTAGCAGGAACCTGGGCCTTTTCTTTTACCAGTTTTTTGTTTTTCCTGCTCCAGTGATCTGAGCTCCAAGTTAGCATTCACAACAGTTGAGAAATGCTTTGCAAAACATGAAAGATGCCTCTAAAATAATGACGTTTGGAAGCATGAGGTAGTAAAATTGAAAATAGAAAGTATAAAGGTTATTTTTATAGGATAGAAAGAACCATGTCTGATTAATCTCTAGTTCTGTTTTGTTCTTTTTTTTTAATGTCACTCTTTGGTTTGGTCTGGGTCACAAAAATCTTTACTCTCACTGGCTTAGTCCCTTTGTATCTGTATTATTGTGAAAGTAGACTGTTTGAACGTGAGGGAAATAGCAACGGTTTCCAGTTTAAAACAATCTTAATGAAAGGTATTTGACATTTGCTCTCATCTCTATGGATATGTTGCTTGAATGATCATTTTTCTCCCATTGTACTGAAAAGCACTGAATTTATCCTAGTAACATGTTCTTTTCACAAATCTCTACATTTAACACAAAATTAAAATGCCAACAGCATTTCTAGGTGGACTGACTACTAATCTAGATGGAGACAAATGCTTGTATGTCTTAATTCACCTTTGTGAAACATTTGCTCCTTTCAGCTGAGACACTAAATATTGTACTGCTAAGCTGATGCCTTTAATTCATTTGTCTAGACTTTTCCATGTTGCCAGAAGCTTAATCTTGGCTAGAGTTTTGAAAACAAGAACAAAGGTATTGTCAAATAGTCTAAAGATAAAGAAACACTAGAGATACAAGTATCCCTAGGTGATAGCATCGGCAAAATAAAAATGCTGAAGAAGAGTTAGGTTACCACAGAAGTGTCTTTACTCAATTTATCCTGCCTTCTGGTTCCATTTTTAACTAAAAACAATGAAACTTTGGGGTTTGTTGTTGTTTTTCACACAGATCTATCCACTAGCATAATCCATGCTCTAAAAAGTTCATTTCAATTATATTGGGAATCTTTTGTTTTATCTGCCATGTAATTGAGAGGTTTTTGTCTTCTTACAAGCTCTATTTAAGAACTTAAATATGTAAGAGCTAAAAGAACCAAGTAGGATAGAGCTATGAGAAAAATTATCTTGCTTTTCTGCTCAAGTGAATCTTTTAGACTTGCCTTTCATTTCCCTCTCCTGACTTTAATATTTATATAACATAGAGAAGTACTTTCAGAGATTTCTTTCAAGTGCTGGTGGATGATGCCACCATAGATGCTCCTCATAAGTGGGTATATCATTTGGTGTCTGGGACTGACACTCAGTAGTACCAAGGACATCTGTTGACACAATTTACTGTTTCTTCAGTGACATCTTTGAATCATTATGGGAATGTTTGAGAAAGAGAAAGAAAACAAACTCTTATGTTTTGAAGTCTAAGCTTGATATTTATTTTCTCTTAGAAAGTTCAAGTTAAATTTTTTCCCTTTAGTGGAGTTGGATCTTTAAAAAGAAAAAAGAGGAAGAAACAAAAAAATATCCAAGGAAAGCTAATTTTGTTTGCTTTTCCAGTTTTCTTTCTCCTCCTTTCCACACTTCGCAAGGGAAGAGTTCTTAAAAGTCTCTGACACTGAACCGTCACAGACACATGAAACAGGAACTCTGAACAAAAACCCTTTCTCTTAATATCATCCTTTAACTGTGGATCCACAAGATGCTTGTAGTTTTGGCAAATCCTTGCAATCTTGAATCTCTAGAAAGCAATCATGGAGAACAAGCCAGTCTGGAAGACAGGCTGTTGTGTGCATGTCAAGGTAGAGATTCCTTCAATTTACCTACCTTTGCTTGTGAGCTGTGAGACAATGGAGAGGTGGCAAGGAAGCTTATACTCAGAGTCCTGCTGGCTTAAGCAATTCCAAACACCGTGCAGAAAATTGATCATTAGAAATGAACTTTGTTGAGTATTTCATTTGTAAAAGAAAAGGGAAATAATTTTTAAATGTATGTTTAAAATGTCATTTACAAGTTTGAAATACCATAAGCTAGTCTAAGGGAATGTTTGGGCTATTCTTGCAATAGAACTGTATGATATAAATGCCCATACATCACTTTTTCCACAAAGCTGGTGCATCCTTTGCTCTGAGAAATATCAGGCCCTATCAGGTAGGGCCAAAGCGTTCTTCTTAGATAGCAACCATGTAATTAGAGAGCATACCAGTTCTCATTCACTTCAATAATAATTAACCATTTCATAATTATAAAACGCCTATATGCCCCAAATTATAAACATTAAAGGGTTTGTAGTGATGTGACACTAATCCTTGAGGTGTCCAGTGAGATCCCAATGCAACCTATGAACTTCTAATGAGAAACTAAATCACACTCATGGTCCATTCATAGATCAAAGGAAGAAAGAATATGACAAAAAATCATTTAAATATAGATAAATATAAAATGATTCAAAGCATGGGCTAGTCTTGGAGTGCTGTGAGTAATTCTGAGAGAAGTCCAGCCCCGAGCCCTGGGTGCACTGTTTCTAACACCTCACTCTATCTTTCCATTCTCCTCCCCCTCACTGCCATGCTCATCTGCTCATCATTTTCCTTTCATTCCTCCATTTGAGGCAGAATTGAGCAGCACTATATGTTTAAGGGTAGAAAGCTATTCTTCCTATTATTTAGTGTATATTATATCCAGTCACCACATTAGCCAGATTGCATTTTTTTACTTGACATCCAGTGGTGCAGCCTCATGCCTTAGGGTTGCAGTGATACGTAACTAGCTCTGAAAACTCCTTGTAGGCTCAGCTGTTTCCTGAATTGAAGAGTTGAGGAGTTGGCTTCGGGGAAAAGGTTAGTCATTTACTCTTTCTTGAGGTTCAAGAATTTCTCTTTATACCTTACATGACATTAAACAAATATCAAATATTGGCACACCTAGTTTCTTTATAAAGAGGTCATTAGAAGAAAATGTTCAAAGGAGAAAGGGAACTTAGGAGGGTGAGGGGGAAAGGAAGGAAGGGGAAAGGAAAAAATGAGAAAAGAAGGAAAAACTGGAAGCAAAGCTTGTATAAATGAAGAGGGGAAAGTGTTAAAGTGGGGGAATAGAGAAGAAAGAGAACCAAGATGTATCATGTACAGGTACAGATTCCCTATGATGAACGTGATCATTGTATAATATCTAAAATGTACCAATAAACTTAGTTAATTAATAGATCATTGTGACTAGTAGTCTCAGATACTTTTTTAGTACACAATGAATCTGACTGTGCCATGCTGATCAAACTATATAACCTTGGTGTCTCAGTTGTTTCATTTGTAATGCAGGAGAAAAAGGGCTTAATGACTCCCAAAGGCCACTCAGCTATAGAGATAAATGGACAGGAAGTTCAAGCAGGTTGAAAAACATAGTTAGAACACCTATTGGCACCAATAGAAGCAAGAGAGTGCCAGAAACTATTTGTAATACAGGAAACATCTGATTGATTATATGAAATTAAATTCTCAATCAGTTTGTTCAGTTAATGTTTTCTTAAGATTAAAGGAGTGTGGCTTATTACCTTATGGTAGACAATAAACTCTAAACAAAAAATCTACAGATTCCTGAATGTAACAAATTGCTATACCCAAAATTTTTAGATATCTAATTCTTGTGACTTTCTTCATTCATAATTTTGAATAAGTGTATTTTAAATAAAATGTATAGATATATTGTCTTATACATTTGGCAAACACAGTACTTTGTATAAATTATCAGAGCAGTAGGAATAAAAATTAGACAAATCACTTCTTAAGCAGTTATAAAAAACCATTAAAGTTTTAATGTTTGTTAGTATTGCTTAAAAACTGTAATACTTGTAAGCATTTGAGTTACATGTTAATAGAACTATACATCATACGCACATACTTTTCTGAACCAAAGCAAAATGTACCTCACAAAACTATTCTTTAAAATGGAAAAAAAATAACATATGATGAATTCTGACTTTGATATTTTTTACTTGTACTTTTTATTTTTTTGGTTTTTTGAGACAGGTTGTGTTATGTAGTGCAGGGTGGTCTCAAACTCACTATGTAGCCCAGGTGAGTCTCAAACTCATGGTGATCCTCTTGCCTCAGCTTCCCTAATGCTGGGATTACAGGTGTACACCACCATGCCCAGTTTTACATATACCTGTTATCTACAAATCCACCACTCATTTGTTCTGGCAACATTTTTTGAGCTGTATACTGGGTGTGCAAACCTTGTGGTTTCAACAGTGTATACATCACAGTTATGATCTATTAGGAGAGATGGACTTAAAAACAAAATGCCCACAGATGCTTATATAAACTTAGTATTCCCCCAAAGGCATGAAAGATAGGAGTAGTAAGATCATATTTTGTGAGGTCTTATTTGGTATTGAGGATCAGAAAATGTGCCTTAAAGAAATGAACCACAATTTGAAACCTGAAGCATAGAGTTAGCCATAAGCACACTATAGAGACAAGGAGAATAA